ATTGTGAAGATTGATACAGTGTCGTAGCTTGACATTGTGAAGATTAATAGAGGGTCGTAGCTTGACATTGTGAAGATTGATAGAGGGTCGTAGCTTGACATTGTGAAGATTGATAGAGGGTCGTAGCTTGACATTGTGAAGATTGATAGAGGGTCGTAGCTTGACATTGTGAAGATTAATAGAGGGTCGGAGCTTGACATTGTGAAGATTGATAGAGGGTCGTACCTTGACATTGTGAAGATTGATACAGTGTCGTAGCTTAGCATTGTGAATATTGATAGAGGGTCGTAACTTGGCATTGTGAAGATTGATAGAGGGTCGTAGCTTGGCATTGTGAAGATTGATAGAGGGTCGTATCTTGACATTTTGAAGATTTATAAATGGTCGGAGTTTGGCATTGTGAAGATTTATACGGGGACCTAGCTCGACATTGTGGAGATTGATAAAAGGTCGTAGCTTGGCATTGTGAAGATTGATAGAGGATCGTAGCTCGATATTGTGAAGATTGATAGAGTAGCTTGATACTGTGAAGATTGATAGAGTAGCTTGACATTGTGAAGATTGACAGAGGGTCGTAGCTTGACATTGTGAAGATTTATAAATGGTCGGAGTTTGGCATTGTGAAGATTGATAGAGGGTCGTAGCTTGGCATTGTGAAGATTTATACGGGGACCTAGCTTGACATTGTGAAGATTGACAGATGGTCGTAGCTTGACATTGTGAAGATTTATAAATGGTCGGAGTTTGGCATTGTGAAGATTGACAGAGGGTCGTAGCTTGGCATTGTGAAGATTTATAAATGGTCGGAGTTTGGCATTGTAAAGATTGATAGAGGGTCGTAGCTTGACATTGTGAAGATTTATAGAGTAGCTTGACATTGTGAAGATTGACAGAAGGTCGTAGCTTGACATTGTGAAGATTAATAGAGGGTCGTAGTTTGACATTGTGCAGATTGATAGAGGGTCGTATCTTGATATTGTGAAGATTGATACAGTATCTTAGCTTGATATTGTGAAGATTGATACAGTATTGTAGCTGGACATTGTGAAGATTGATAGAGGGTCGGAGCTTGACATTGTGAAGATTTATACGGGGATGTAGCTCGACATTGTGGAGATTGATAAAAGATCGGAGCTTGGCATTGTGAAGATTGATAGAGGGTCGTAGCTCGATATTGTGAAGATTGATAGAGGGTCGGAGCTTG